ACTGAAAATGAAATAGAAAGTTACCGAAACAAATAATGATATGCCCTTTGAAACAAAACAAACTAGCAATTCCAAGAGACAAACTAATAGATTTTCTAATAATTTTTATTAAAATACATTTGCAGTTTGACATTAAATGAAAGCATAATAATTTTTTCAGTTTGTTACATTTATTGAATCCTAAACATGGCCAATTATGGTCCACAAAGCTCTGGATGGAAGATGAACAAAAATTAAACTATAGCATCCACTAACTGACCTATCACTAAAGATAGAAAATATATATAATTATAGACACTCTAAGGCTTACAAAAATTGAGAATAATTGCTGATAGTCTAGAGGAAGCAAGGAAAGGATTTAGCGCCATGAAGGATGTTATTAATATTAAGAAAAATTCTCAATTAATTGAGCAAAAGTCATCTATGATCATCAATTTAATGGGGAAGTTGTTGGAAAAATTTATTGGGGTTCACTGTGTTATATCATGGCTCAGACAGGAGTATCATTTAGCTAGTGACTGCTGCAAGAAACAAAAGACAAAACCAATAATTTCCTCCTTGCTTAGAACACCATCATAGTCTATATGGATAATTAATGTTCTCTGACTTGTTTTCCTGAAATCCCTTCTCTTCTTTCAGCCCCTGTTGCATACAATTGCCAAATTAATCTTAATTATTTGCTTTCATTTTATGCCTCTTTTTAAAAGTAATTTCCATATAGAATAAACACTTTAGTTTCATGGTCAAAGCTATCTATAATCTGCTTCCCGTCTCTCACCTTTACTTCACCTAAGCCTGCCTATTTCATTCGTACCTAAAGACACGCACGCTCCCACTTTTGTACTTGTGCCGACATACTTTGTTCCCCTGCCACCCATTACATTTGCTCTGTCTCTAAAGTCTAAACAAGTTGGATTTCCTTGCTGAAGACTTTGTTCTCAAATCAAAATGTCTTTAAACTAAATAGTAATAGTAATGATGGAACTGGAAAAAACAAACCATTCCCTCTACCCAGAAAGAAAATGAGTAAGAGGTGGCCTTTAGCTAAGCAGTTAGTGGAGACCTTACGAAACAAAGTGTTAATATGGCCTTTAGTTAACTAAGGTAAAAATGGCCATTTCAAGGCATATGACTGACTCAATAAAGGGTATTTTTATTATTCCCAGCAGACCTATTGTTCTCTGATTGGTGCCGACTCCATTCTAAGGCAGCTGGAAATCATTTCTTTAATAGGGATTTAAAACTGTTTCTCCAACTTGACTAACGTACCATCCATCTCCTTTAAAAGAAAAACAATTATCCTGGACCTCAACTGTTGATCTAGGTTATTTTTGTAATACTGTTGCTTAAGTTTGTAAAATAAAATGAGGCATAAACTCCCACAGGGGACACCTTTGTTGTTTATTGGCCATTCTTCCTAATTCTTCCTAATCGCATTTGTTTCCTATGGGTGAATTCACTCTCTCCAGTCACGTGCAGCCGAGGTTCCCTGCTTTTCCACGCAGAATCAGAATGTTGCTCATCCTTCTTCTGATTACCCTGCTACCATCAAAGGGAGATTCTTGAGTGGAGAAAACTACTGGAGTCCACTCATCTGGCAGCAGACTTTGATCACGTGGCTAAATAGTACTTGCTGTTTCCGCCCCCTCTGCGCCCCTCCCCACATTCTTGTTCTGTCTTGGTTCTTTATCCTGTCCTTGACTCTGGTGTTCCCTCTGGGAAATATGAGCAGTAAGAGAAACTTTCACTGTGTACTCATTTATTACTTTACAAACATTTTTTTAAAAAATTATTGATTTGAGAGAGAGAGAGAGAAAGGGACACAGAGAGAGAAACATCAGTTTGTACTTCCACTTATTCATGAATTCATTGGTTGATTCTTGTATGTGCCCTGACCAGGGATGGACCCCACATTGTATCAGGATGATGCTCTAACCAACGGAGCAACCTGGCCAGGGCTACCCATTTATTACTTTGGACTTTTGAAGCATAAGAATGGATATATTATCTATTCAAATATTGAAAAGTTAAAAAGTCATAAAAGCACCACTGAACAACAACAAAATAACAAGAACGTGGCCTAGCCAAGTTAACCTTCACAAGTCGCACACCAAGAGGAAAAGCGGCACAGAAGAAGGTGCCACAAGTTCACAAGAAGAACAGGGGAGGCAACTGCATGATAGACATCTGCCACTGTGAAGCTTCCAGTGAAAGGCTGACTCAGCCTAGTGATGGGGCTGGAAGATTGTAAAACATTACAGTGAGAGAATTAGCTTTTGATTGCTTTTCTTATATAAACCTTTCTCGAATGTCCTTGTGAACAATTATTCAATAGCCTCAACTCCTATGGTGTCCAGTTAGACACTACGAAATCCAATAAATCTGAAATTGAGTGGGCTTAACTGATCTTGATCTTTTAAGTTACTCCACAAAGCCAGAGGGCTTTTCTACTAAAATAGGTGTCCCCGTCCCAATAATAAAAGTCAAGAAAGTAGATGTGGTCACCAAGAGAGTTTATAGTATGAGAAGAGCAGTAGGCAAGGACAGATGCCAGTAAGGGGCAATCACAGGAAAAAGGCACCCAGGAAGGAAAAGGCCAGCTAATCGAAAAGAGAGGGGCTCTGAATCTGTGACCTGTGGACTTCCACGGGGCCCATCGATGAGCTTCAAAGGATTATTTAACTCCCTGCAATTATGTGCAAATTTTGCATTATGCAGATAGCTTTCCTCAGATTTCCAAAGTGATTTGTAACTCTCTGTCCAAAACAGACAAATTTCACTGCATATGGCAATTAGAAGACGTCTTCTTTGCAGAGTCATTTAGCTCTGCTCCTTCAACTTCCTGCCACTTCAACTCAACACAGGCAGGCTGGCTTCAGGATCTGCCATTCTACCAAAACTGTTCTTGTCAAGGACACTGACATTTATCTTGCAAAACCTAGTGAGTAGTTCTTTCTTATCTTACTTGACTTCTCTGCCTCCCTACTTTAAGTTAGTACCTTCTGATTTCCTTTGTTGCACCTAGCACAATCTGAAATTATTTTATATCATCTGTCCCATGTTTAGGATACAAATTGTTCTAGGACTGAAACATTGTATCTCTTTTTCACCTCTAGATCTCCACTGCCCCAAAAGAGTGTTTGATGCAGAGCTGGCATTCACTACAAATGTATTATACTTAGTGCACGAATGATGAGACTCCAAGTGGACTGCATTGCAAATGTGTGATATTTTAAGCTTGACCTTTCTTCTACAAGGTTTTACATATGTGTTTTTTCCAACAAAGAGGGGTAATTAACTCTATCAACTTATGTTGTACAGAAATCAAGGGCTATGGGGACTGGGAGACCACGTTGGTGACTTGAAGTCACAGATGACATTTGAGAAGGTAATTCTGGAAGAGCTGGAAGGAAGAGAGAAGCCAGAATGCCAAGGTGAACAGGGTTAAAGTGAGAGGAGGCAAAGAATGAGAGATGGAGTGGAGCAGAGAAAGCACTTCTAGAAGATAACAGGGTTGAGAGCAATGCACAGCATCAATATGACAAGGCCTGAGGGCAGAGAGAGAGAGCCATTCTTTCACGCTGGGCAAAATGGTGTAAATGTCACAGTTTAGTGGAGAGGAAAAAGTACTTAACAACTAAAAGGAAGATTCATGTTTTCTATAACTGTTGTGAAGCTGGTCTGAATTTAGTGGATGCCAATAATTTTTAAAAAAACTGTGGTCATTCTCAGCTGAAACTTGAAAGCTATAAAGCCCACAGCTCTTTTCAGGACACAGATGAATATGGGTAAATAATGTACCCTTATTTTGCTTCAGTTTTCTGCTAAGATGGAACTAAAGGTGTCTAACCCTCACGTGTCTAGGAGGCTTGGCCAAAATAAACACCATTAAAACCTATCTGATAAAGCCCATCAGAGACAAACCTGTAGTCTAATGAAGTTAGGCTTCCTGACTTGCTGTAACAAGGTAGCCCCACACCATGGGAAGTGAGGAGTGAAAAAACAAAACAAAACAAAAAACGGCTAGCCTGGGCTATGAAGCAGCTTCCAAGGTCTTGTAGCCTTGACAATTATAAAGTTAAAATAAATGTGGGATGTTACATCTGAAAATCCCTTATTTGAGCCTTTATACGGGGACTGGGCAATGATCCACGTAGTTCGGTCCCTACAGGCAGGAACGGGCTGTTTCCAATCTTACCGATAGGATTTCACACAACCGAGCTTCCGAAGGTTTAGGAAACAGGGTGTTTCAGTCTATGCCCTCTCACTAAACAAAAGCAGTTTTTACATATTCACAATGGGTATCTGCGTGTTGAAATTCTGCTCACCTTTAACAAAATTCATCGTCAAGGCCTTCTCCCTGGTGTTACTTAGCGTCCCCCTGGTTGGGTTAACGGCCTCTTTCTTTTGCACAAACAATAAAAACGCTCTAGGCGTTTGTGCGCTTTGATCTCGTACCCGACCCCACTGCTAAACGTTTACTTAAGCGTCATCTCATTTGATCCTGACAAGAAGTCATCGAGATATTTACACACGAGACCTACCTGGCACTGAGAAATTAACAGGACTACGGTATTTGCTTTTTCCATCATTGCACTTACTTTCACTCTGCCTTATGTTTTAACCCGTTAATTTACCCCCCGTTTTTGAGGAGTCATCCCTCTATTCTTTGTGACCACCACATGCTTTTTTAGGCGGTGGACTCAGTAAACACGGAGCTGAACTTCACACAGGACTTGCAACTCGAACCAGTTAACGGGAACGTGCCAGATCCCCGGGGCTGTTCCGGCCTCGGGGCTCTTCGCTCCCGGAATTGCTCCCGAGGCGCAAGGGGAGCTGAGCAGCTGAGTCTGTGCAGGCTTTCCGAACTTCGGACTGCAGTCCAGTGGGAGCTCTAATGGCAGTCACTCACCGCGGAGGCGGGACTTCCTGCCTCCTAATAAGGCGCTTCCGGTAAAGACACGGAAGCTGAGCTTTGGCGAGGCGCATGCGAGGGGGCCGACTCTCGAACCACCCAGCTGGCCTCGGAGAGGTGAGCGTCGCAGGGATTTGGGAGACGAGGGGGCGAGCGTTCTTAGTGGCCGCGGCCGACAGTCACCTTGCAGTGCTTGTCCGTCTTTCCTTTCCTAGATGTTTTCTGGAAACTTCCCAGGTTGCTAGAGCCGGGCGTTGCCTGCTCCCTGCGACTTTGGCCAGATGCGCAGGCTCTGGGAGTGCGTGCTCGTACGTGTGTGTCTGTGTGTTCGCGCGCGTGCGGGCGTGTGTACGGACCAGGGCGTGTGTGCGCGGGCGGCCTGGCGCGCGCGTGGACGGTCGTGCCAGGTCTCGGGCGCGACCCAGCGGGATGGACCGCGCTGCCCGCACTTCGCAGAGAAGTCTTACTGGCTTGATACTTTGGAAGAGGTGAAATTGGTATGGGCGACCAGTGACTTGGTGTGACGTTAGAGAAAGAGCCTTGTCCTACCAAGTCATTTAACATTTGTGGTGGAGGAGAAATAATGTTAAGTGAGTGGATAACGTTTAAGAATTTTACATAATGCCTACTGCCGACTGGGGACTTAAGTTGTGGGTGGACCCGGGTGAGGGTGTGACATCCCTGTCCACAAGGAAACCTTAGCCCCATCGCGAAGACAGGGTTTACAAATGCCAAACTGTTAGAGAACGAGTCGATAAAGACTAAGAGCAGACTTTTCTTCTAACATTAATACTGCTATGGCAGCTGTCATTTGATGTTTGTTTCTACTTTTTTCAGCTTTTTAGTTTTAACCTTTCTTTGTGCTTTTATAAACAGCATATCGCTTTTTTCTTTTTTAAATCCTAGTTGACAATCTCTGCCTTTTGACTGGCACGTTTATTGTACTTACATTTATTGTCACTGCGGAGATACTTGTTCCGGCCAGAACCTTTGGAGTCATCCTTGACTCAGCTCTTTTGCACCGTGCACGTAATCTATCGGCACATCCTTTGGACTCTGCCTTCAAAACCTGTCCAGGCTCCCATACCCTTCTCACCGCCTTCGCTTGTCCAAGTTACCATCTAACTAGTCTGCCTTTTCTTTTTCCACTCTGTTTGCATCACAACATGTAGAGTGATCCTCTAAATAAATAAATAAATAAATAATCCACTTCCTTCAAAAAAAATCTACCAAAGTCTGTTCCTTTCACTCAGATCCCTAAGCCAGGTCTTTAGAGTGGCCCCCAAAGCCCTTTATGATGCAGATCTGCTTTACCTCTGATTTCCCCTCTTGCATACTCTCCCCTTCGTCCTTCTGTGTGGGCTCCTCAAGTGCCCGCCAGTCTCCGGATATTTGTGCTTGCCATTCCTTTGCCTGGAATGCTCTTCCCTGGCCTGTATGCATGTGATTCAGTCCCTTACCTCCCTCACCTGTTTTGAATGTTACTTTCTCTGTAAGGCTGTCCCAGATGGATCTTTTGCTTACATCTCCACTGCACTCATTGTCCTTGCGCTTGTCAACTTATGACATTCCTTGTGATTTAGTCATTTATCTGGTTTATTATGCTTCCGCCACTAGGATGGAAGTTTCATCACAGCAGGTATTTTTATGTGTTTTGTTTATTGCTGTATCCTTAGTGCCTAAAACAGCATCTCACTTTTAGTAGTCTCTTCGTACTGAAGGGATTTGGACTTTTTCTACCGTCTTATACTTTGTACTTTCTTTGCTGTCTTTAGATCTGCTTTTTTGCCCCTTTCCCCGTATTTTTTTTGTTTGTTTTTTGTTTTTGATTCAAGGTCTTCTTTTATCTTTTCACTTTTCCCCTTCTACTTGTTTGGAAGATATATTACTCTATATATTCTGTCTCTGTTCTTAGAGTGGTTAAGCTTTGAATTTGAATTTTAATTTTACTGTGCATACTCAGTTGAATCCAATTTAATTTTAATAGAATCTTATTTTTGTAAAATGTAAATATTCAACAATAAAACTTGTAGTTGTCACTATTTTCTGGTGGTTTGATTTATTTTTTATTTTTGGTTTATTAAAGTCATTTTATCATATATATATTTAGTCTCACCCAAGGACTTTTTTCCCCATTGCTTTTAGAGTGGAAAGGGGAGAGAAAAAAACATCGATGTGAGAGAGAAACATGGATTGGTTGCCTCTCATAGGCTTCCTGACTGGGAATTGAACCTGCAACCTAGGTTTGTGCCCTAAGAATTGAACCCATAACCTTCAGTGTATGGGACGATGCTCCCACCAAGTGAGCCACACCGGCCAGGGCAATTTATCATGTATTTTAATGGAATATTTATTGTATATTTAGCACTTCAAATTTTTTTTTAAAAGAAACTTTTGCTAGTTTCCTTACCTTAGCATTTTACTAGGAAGTGTGCAGGAGAATCCACTGAAAATAACTGTGAAATGAATATTACTCAGAAAGTATGTAGGGACTACCAGGAAGGGGAAGCATCACAGTTTGCCAATTATTTGAAGTCACTGGAATGAATTTGTAAAGGAGTGATTTGGGAAGATTTGGTGGTATATGAAAGTATGTAGGGAAAAGGCACAAACTTACTGGTTCATAATTAATTTAAGTAGTTCTCTTTCACATAGTTTTGCCATAACAACTGTGGTTTTGGTGTAGCTTTAAGTCACTGGTGTTTGAGAGAGAAGACATGCCTACAGCCTCTTTGGAAATGCCTAAAGCTTTTTGGAGGAGCTAAAGTGACGTGATACAATTCAACATTTGAGGACAAAGGACTGTAGTGAGGATGTAGCACAGCTTAGGCACAGGCTCTGACATCAGGTACGAAGGGCATGAAAGGACAGCAGGTCATTATGTTCAGTGACACAAGCCAGTCACTGAAAGACAAATACTGTGATTCCACTTAATGAGATATCTAGAGTAGCCAAGTTCATAGAAACAGAAGCTGGGGGCTGGAGAGAAAGGGGTATAGGAAGTTCTTTGACGAGTATAGACTTTCAGTTTTGTGAGATGAGAAGGTTTTAGTGATTGGTGTCACAACAGTGACTGCATCTAATACCACTCAACTGTGTGTTTAAAAATGGTAAGATGATGAATTTTATGTGTATTTTACCACAATTAAAAATTTTAACAAAGGATAGTAGATGGGTTTGTTTAAAATTGGGCTAAAGAAGGCACTGGCTGGGTCGCTAAGTTGGTTGTAGCGTCGTCCTGATATGCCATGGTTGTGTATTCAGTCCCTTGTCAGGGCACATACAGGAATCAACCAATGAATGAATAAATAAGTGCAACAACAAATAGATGTCTGTCTGTCTGTCTCTCTTTCTCCCTCTCCCTCCCGTCCCCCTTCCTCTCTCTTTCAAAAATCAGTAAAATAAAAATAAATAATATAAAATAAAATTGGGCTAAATACTTGGAAACTGTTACATTTTGGGTGGTAGTTTAAAAGCAAATGACATTTTGCCCTTAAATGTTTAAAGGTATTCCCGCATTTAGTCTCCCAACATGAACTTTCAATCAGCGAAACTCTCTTCCATTTCCCTACCTGGAAAGTTTGTTCACTGTCTGCTGCCCATTCCTAACAGCTTAACCAGGGCATGGATTCTACATGGAGCCTTTCCTCACTCGTTTTCTGGTTTTTGGGTTTTTTTTCCTATTACAGTTTACTTTCAGTATCATTCTTTATTAGTTCCAGATGTATGGCATAGTGGTTAGACAATCATGTACTTTACAGAGTGTTTTCCTGCTATTTCAGGTACTCACCTGGCCCTATACGTAGTTATTATGGTACTGACTATTTCCTATGCCTTCCCTCTTGACTCACATGGTTTTCTTCCATCACTGAATTTGATCCTTGTGTTCCGAATTTTGGGTCAGTTTTAGGTTTACACTGTTAGTCATCTCTCCCAATTACACTAAGCTCGTGGAAGAGCATACCTTCTCCTTCCTTACTTTCTCATGACAGAAAAGTCAAGGAATCTAAGCACTCACAGTGCCTGAGCCAGGATTACTAGAGCTTCTAAGTCTCAGATGTATTCTTCGTGGAGGTTGAGCTTTCTGCCTGATAGGTGTCAGTGTGTGAATGATGCATCAGACCTCATACCAATTATTTTGGTATAATTTTGAACAAATATCAGGGAAAGATTTAAGAAAATACATTTAGAAAGATAATAGAACCTATATTGAAAACAATCTTTTTTCTAATATTCACAAACTGCCAGGGTATTTGTTTTTTTCTTTCTTTTTTTTTTTTTTTTTACCTTTTCTACTGTGCATCAGACATCTGTTTGGATTTCTTGGCTGCAGAAGGAGGGAAATGTCATTGATGTTGGAATCTATACCTACTGTGAGCAGTAGCCTTACTGTGATTAACTTCCCCATATCAGCTTCTGTTCTTCTGAACTTGTAATACATTTTTTTGGATTTATGGAACATTTTCCTCTTATGTAATATACAGTCTTTCTTAATGGCTACATTTGTGGATTGTTTACAATACATTGAGCACTTGTGCATATAATACCATTTAATTCAACAGCCCTATGAAGTAGGTCCTAATATATCAGCATTTTACAGACAAGGAAACAGACACAGGTGAAATTAACCAGTGTCTCATAGCTAGCATGTAGGAGAGGCAGAATTTCCATCCAACAGATTGGCTGCGTGTATTGTCCATATTAGATTAAATAGGAGCAAATATGACCTAAATTCTTATGTGTACTTCAGGATCCTTTCAGTTGCAGGAGAAAGAAACAGCTCAGATTGGTATAAGAGAAAGAAGTAATTCAGTGTTTCATTTAACTGAGATAATGAAGGACTTTAGGCAGGGCTGGATCAGCTCTGCTTGCTTGTTTGCCATTATTTTCAGAGAAGATTTTTCTACATAGTGCCAGAGGTGCCCCTAAGTTATTCCAGGTTTAAGTGGTTCTTTTGTTTTACGGTCTTGGGAAAGAGGTGGACCTCCTCTTCAAGTGCTAATGTCATTTCCTAAAAGATTGGCTCTGCTTGGGTTAGGATTTTATACATAGACCAGTGCTGGATTCAAGGAAATAGAGGTGAGGGGTCATCAGATTGGCTCTCCTAGGTCATGTGT